TACTATTCTAAAGGATGTTTAGATAAATTCATATTATTTATACTATCGATCGATAAACAGATTTACTATACTAATAACCTCTCATCACGCTAAAATGGCGGACTACAGTAAATTAACCATTTCTCTTGTCATGCGAAAGGATGGGTCATCCACCTCCGTTCAACTTTACCGGTGGGCGAAATCAGTACTAGTAACAGTCTCGATTCCCGATGGCCATTGAGCAGATCCGCAGTATCGTCAAGAACGACTCGCGCTTCGACAACGGCTACCATTTCGTGGGTTACTCACATTTCTTCGCGACAGAGTTGTAGCTCCACGGCAGCACTCGCTACTGCAGCGATACACACCCGTAGACTCGATCGACGAGATCGAAACCAAGTTCGAGGAGTTTGCAGTCACGGCCATGGAGGATACCGTCGAGTACAAGAACGACACGTATGGTCTGGGTATGCTGGATGAACGTGGAGGCTCGTGCCGCACGGTCGTTGCCAATATCTCGCACAACTGCTGGATTGTCGACGGCGTGCGCTTCGATGCCGACGTCGAGTGTCCAGACTCGCCCATCGTGATCAAAGCTACCGAAAGGTTTAGATTACGTCATCGCAAATCTCGTACCCTGCTGCTGCTGGACTTGACTTCACACGTGATCATTATCCAATCTGCCGCTAAGCTTTCAAGTGTATTGCACCATTACAACAATGAGCCTCTCCTCCGACGCCACTTCCCCCTTAAAAATGACCTACCACTTCCTAGGCGACTCCGGCCTCCTCGTATCCAAACTCGGTTTGGGTACCTTCATGAGTGACGAGTCCAAGTACGAAGGCGATTTCTGGTACACCCTCATGACACTCGCCTACAAGCACGGTGTCAACTTCTTCGACTGTGCGGAAGGCTACGGCAGCGGTAAGGCAGATGCTGGGCAAAGCCATCAAGAGAGGAGTCGCAGAAGGAGTCTGGAGTCGAGAGGATCTGATAATCACTACTAAGATCTTCGCGGACACCAAGTCCGGCCCGAACGCCGCGGGAGTGAACCGCAAACACGTGATCGAGGGGACAAAGGCGTCGCTGAAGCGCTTAGACCAGGACTATGTGGACGTGATCTTCTGCCACCGCTCGGACCCGAACACTCCAATTGAGGAGACCGTCCGAGCCATGAACTTTGTGATTGAGCAAGGTTGGGCATTCTACTGGGGGGCCAGTGAATGGAGCTCCGCTCACATCATCGAGGCGTGTGAGATCGCTGACCGATTGGGATTGATCCGACCGGTTGTTGAACAACCGCAGTACAACATCTTGGAACGGTCCCGTGTGGACTTCGACTTGGTCAATTTGTACCAGAAGTACAAATTGGGTCTCACAACGTGGTCGCCGCTGTCAATGGGGATTTTGACCGGCAAGTACAGCAACGGTAAGCCTGGCGGTTCTCGCTATACGTCACCTATGTTCAAAGAAGGGTGGTTAGCTGAATGGTTCGCGGAGAATGTGGAGATTGCTGGCAAATTGATACCGATCGCGGAGGAGTTGGGATGCTCCTCGGCGCAGATGTCGATCGCGTGGGCCGTATCGAATGAGAATGTGTCGACAGTGCTTTTGGGAGCTAGTCGCCCAGAGCAACTGGAGGAAACGCTGAAGGCGATCGAAGTCGAAAGCAAAATCACACCCGAGCTGAAGGAGAAGATTGACGGCATCGTGAAGTTCGTGCCGAAGCTGCCTGAGGTCGACCCACTCGCTCTTACGCGCAGTCGCTACCTGTAAGTAGCATGTGCAAAGCCGAGAGGACAGGAACAAACTAAAAATCAATACTACTCATTTTGCTCATGACTCTAGTCTTGTTACATGTGTCAACGTTTTGAATAGCATGGCTTTTTTGAAGATTATTTATGCCTACGCATAGATAGAAAAAACAACTAACGCTTTTTTGTAAGGCTAAACATCTGGTTGACAGGCATACCTGTGATAATAAAGCACCTCACTTTAATAAAAGTAAACGTATTTTTCAAAATTAGTATGTTTCTTGATTCAACGTTAAAACAATACAATTACACATCTCCCCAGTTAACGAAGAATATCACGGTTGAGGAAACGATCAAGTTTGGCGACATCATGAGGCTTGTTCCGGTTGGAACTTCCGACCATAAAAACAGTATAGGGACTTCCTCGGCCCACATGGCCAACATTTAGTTGTCACATAGCCCCGAAGTGTTACGTGTTTTACTTTACCAGAAAGATTACGAGAAAATGATTTCAAATTAATTTTGCCACGATGTTTACACTTCGGATTCACAGTCAGAATTACTAGACTAGCGCACATTGACGTTCATATTGCAATACGATCTGCATGCCACTCAAGAATTGTCAAGCTCGCCCCCAAGTATCTCCATGAATTCGAACCCCTACGCTAACTTTTTCGTCCAGAATCAGAAACTCTTAAGCGATAGTTTGGTCAGGCCCGTTCTCCCGCGCTCTCAACGTCACGTCTTCCATATTGCAAATGTTCACGCAGCAGGAAGCTTCCGGCAAACTACACGAGAAGAGGTATCGAAACCTCGAGGTGTTGTCCGTGTAAGCCCTAGCGGTAAGCAAGCGGCAGCGCAAAGAAGATCGGACTCGACAAGCGAATGTAGAAGTACAGAGATATCACATCGCCCAGTTAGCTACTACGACAAACAGCGCGATATGTTACTCCAGCTTGAGAAGAATGTCAGCCGACTTCGAGAAGAAGTTCGCCATTTGAAGTGTATACGTCGGGACGTGGAGCATGTTCGGAGCTTCGGCCGTAACTCAAGGACTACGGTTGCCAAAATGTTCACCTTGCTGGACACCAATTTCCGCTCTCCCTGGCGCATGCAGAGTGCTGCACGGTACCTACGACACGCCAAGCCACCGGAGAATGTGTTCGCCTTGCAGTCATTTGCTGGTGTCCCTGATTTCGGAGATTTATACGGTATGACGGCTCTCATCATGCATCTGCGATGCTACTGGTATTACTTCAAAGACTCGACCATCCAGTTACAGCGGGTCGACTTGAAAGCACCTGGGGTTATAATTGCTACTGCGAGAATTACTGTCACAATCTCAGATCTCACGTTACAGGAGTTATTCCCTCATCTACGAATGACTAAACGCAATCGAGAGGTAAACGACGTGCACCGACCATCGCGTGAGCGGCTTTTGGGGCGGAGATTTCATTGTCAATGCGTCATCACTTTCTTCCTGGACAAAGAATCTAGCCGAGTGGCATATATAAGCACCAGTATTGACCTGGTAGGCTCACTTCTTCACTCGCTTGCTTGAGCAAAATGCAAGATGAATTCCACAAATTGGAAACTGAGACGTTTACAAAAATAAAAAGAATGAACTATCTAAAAAGATCGAGTCATTATTGATGTTTTGTGTCAACGGAGTTCAAATCCTGTCTACAGGTGGCGTTCGCGCACGTACGCAAACGTATCCATTGTAGCCACTGTCGGCACAAAGTTGACGATGTCATCGATCTGGGCCTTGACTTCTGGCGTAATCTTGTCAACGAACTCCAGAGCTTTCAGGTTCTCCTCGAGCTGAGATGGACGGCTCGCGCCAACCAACGCAGTCGACACGTTTTCATTGGAGACAACCCACGCCCACCCTTGCTCAATGACATAGTTCATGGCACGCACAGCTATGATGCCCTTATTGACAGCACCGCCTTGAAGCTTCTCAGCGTGGCCATTGGCATACATCTCAGACGTGTCGAAGAAGTTAACGCCATGCTTGAACGCCGTCTTCATCATTTCATACCACGCGTCCACGGTATTTTCCTCCTTGTACTGCATCCACGCTCCAAGGCTAAGCTTGGAAACCAGCAGGCCGGAGTTTCCCAAGAAACGGTACGACATCTTAGTGGAGGAATCGGATGAAGACATGACGATTGATTCGAGGTTGCAGGAGTAGAGGTTGTGTGCAGCAAGAAGTAGATTAAAATATGACACTAAAATCGTCAAGACTCTCCCGGCCTCGACCCGTAAACTGGAACTGATGACGCTGTTGCGCTCTTGGCTCACAAAAGCGATGACGGGGCAACATCGACCAAGAATCAACCCGCTCGCGTGTCAGCACCTTTTGTTTTAAATTTCCACGAACAACTGCCCATGACAAGAAACCATCACCAGGCAAAAAAAAAAAAAATCCAATCTACTGTTTGCCCTCAATCATATCGACATCGCTCTTCTCACTTGCATCGTTCTTACTGTTGTCTTCGCCCTGAGCATTTTCACTTGAAGCCACCGTTGTGCTACTCGCGCTCCGAGTCATAGCTGAGCGAGACTTCCGAAGGTTCTTCTTCATCCGATCAAACATCCGCTGGTCCGCACGTGATACGGACGGGAAAACTCGGTCAAACGCACTGATGAAATGATGGTGCTCGATCCCCAGAGCAGAAATACCAGCCTCCAGTTTCGAGAAATCGGTCTCCCGCAGCGCTGTGATGCCAGCTTCACGAACCAACGCGCTCAGATCGGCACCGCTGAAGCCCTCGCAACGAGGATCGGCCGCGATGGCCTCGAGTTGAACTGATGGCGCCAGAGCACATTTAGATGAGATGGTTTTTAGAATCTGATGACGTTCAGATGCCTGGGGCAGAGGCACATACAGCAACTTGTCCAGACGACCAGGACGCAGCATCGCAGGGTCGATGATGTCTGGACGATTCGTTGCAGCGATTACGAAAACGTTACGACGTCCATCCAAGCCATCCATCTCGGTTAACAGCTGATTTACCACTCGCTCGCTAACTCCGTTACCACCGGCGTCACCACCAGCTCCACCAGAGCGCCGAGGTGCCAGAGCATCCAGTTCATCAAAGAACACGACACACGGAGAGGACGCACGAGCTCTCTGGAAAACTTGACGCACAGATCGCTCCGATTCACCCACGTACTTATCGAGAAGCTCTGGTCCCTTGATACTAATGAAGTTGGCGCCACTTTCATGGGCGATTGCCTTGGCCAACAGCGTCTTACCACAACCAGGAGGTCCGTACAGCAGCACTCCAGCAGGCATAGACAGCCCAAGAGCCGCAAAGCGCTCTGGGTGCGCAATGGGCTGCAGAACTGCCAGCGACAGCTCGTCACGCACCTCGTTAAGTGCGCCAATGTCATCCCACGTAACGTCCGGGATCGTAGCGAAGCCTTCGCGCTTCGAACTAGGCTGAACTTTTGGAATCGCAGCCTCAAAGTCCGCCATAGTAATGCTGAGTGGTGCCAATTGTGCCTCCGTGAATGGCTTTACTTGAGCACGTAAGTCGTCAGCTGCCGACGAGGCCTCCTCGGCGTCATCCACCGTCTTCTGTGTCGCATCCACCTCCATCGCATCGTCACTGGTGCCTGCATCTGACGTCTCTGTGTCAGCAGACACACTGGTCGCGTCAACCTCCGCCGTCAGAGCTTTCACCGCGTTAATATTCGTGAAAATGCGGTTCACAGCTCCCACTGCCGCCTCCTTCGTCAACGAGACCAGATCTGCTCCAACATATCCAGGAGTCCGCCGAGCCAGCGCTGGAAAGTCGAAATCTCCCTCCAGTGTCATCTTCCTCGCCAGCACTCTTAGAATTTTCTCTCTCGCTTCTTCATCTGGAATCCCCAGACAAATTTCCCTATCAAACCGTCCAGCACGGCGCAAAGCCGAGTCCAACGCATCCGGTCGGTTGGTAGCTCCAATGAGAATTACCGGTTTCCCACCGGTATTCTCCAGACTTAACGAGTCGGTACTTGTAAGCAACTGAGCCACAATTCTCTTCTCCATCCCACGTGCTGACGTCTCTCTCTTGGGCGTAATAGCGTCAATCTCGTCAATAAAGATAATGGACGGGGCTCTGGAGATGGCTTCATCGAACAGCTCCCTCAGCTTCTGCTCCGACTCGCCAGACATCCCCGAGACCACTTCGGGCGCCGAGATCTTCAAGAACGTCGCGCCACACTCTCCTGCTATAGCGTGAGCCAGCATCGACTTGCCTGTGCCTGGCGGTCCGTGAAGAAGTACGCCTCTAGGAGGCTCCACACCCAGATGTGCGTACACTTCGGGGTGGGTCAGAGGGTACTCTATGAGCTCTCTCACCTCCTGTAGAATAGTCTGGATGCCACCCACGTCGCTGTATCTCGCACTGGGTCTCTCCACCACGAAGCCTCTGTTTTCATCTGCTTCTGTCTTCTCGTCCTCCTTTTTAACGCGTTTGCGCACTATTTTAACCTTCTTAACAGCCGGTTTATCAGCGTTTTGGTCCGCGTATTTCAGCTGCATGGCGCGGTTTAAAGAGTTGCCAGTGCCTGCAGCGGCCTGTTGCTCTTCCAGTGCGCGGATTTGCGCCTCGTCGTCGCTGCCGCTCTCGGAGCGCGAGCGTTTGGGCGTGTCTCCGCCATTGGGCTGCGCCTTCTTCATCACTTTGGCCACAACTTTGCGCAACGCGCCCTGAGGCTTGCGCTGGTACTCGGCATAGGTCTCGCGAAGGTGCGAGGTGACGGTCGCCTCGCTGGGACGCGCGCCGCGCTCCTCGCACTCGCGTAGATAGCGCCGCACGTGGAAACTCACCTTGGCCTCCATGTTGACAATTTGCGGAGTGTGACTGGCGGAGACGAAGGCGGATGATGATTGGCTGAAAAGTAAACGGTGTGGTGCACACGATGTTGAAGAGCACATGGCTACACTTCAGTTTTTGGGGTTTGCATGTTGCATGTTGCAACGGATTTGCTATAGTACGTTTAGATGCAGGAACTACATCAGTATGCATCCCAGTTAACTTGGTCGGTGGTTGACATTCGAGTGTCAGACTTGGCGCGTCATCACTTTCGTTGATGTTCCAACTACCTCTGTTTTACTTTGAAGCGTGATCATCTATACGGGGATCGTCTTTTAATGACAAGGATCGGTCTCATTCTGCCTTTTTACAGCAATCTAGCATACGCGTCTTCAGTATTGCATTCTACCATGTCCACCGCTCCGATTAAGATGACCCACCAATTTCTGGGTAACTCTGGTCTGCTGGTATCGAAGCTCGCCCTCGGATCCTGGATGCAGTACGATGAAAAGTACACGGTGGACATGTGGCGTACGTCGACCTGTACTATATAGTACATCATCGCTGTCTCTCAGCGATATCACGGCGTCTGACAGCATCGCGACCGTAGAGGTCGCGATGGCAATGAAGAGCTGGCTGATAGTAAAAGTTCATCGTGTTTTGTGCGAGCTGCGCGAGTCGCTGCTAGCTCTTAAGGTATGGTTTGCTAAATAAGTTTCCTATTGGTGCTGCTGGCGCTAAATAGCAGCCCGAGGCGATGGTTGTGCGTAGTAGATATTTCTACCGCTTATACGCTCAGTGAAGCCTGTTCACTTGAAGTACTTGGGCATTGCGAACACTTCAGTCAACATCCATGTCCACAGGCTCGTCGTTATCTTCTGGAAGCTCTTCGAACCGCACAAAGTGCTCGTCCTCGCTCTCC